GCCTTACAGGGTTGGGGGAAGCAAAGAGGGTGCGCCCTGTGACTTTTATGAAATACATTAATACAAGTATTCAAATTGAAATAACGTAATTGTGCTAATTGTTGCTGAGAGAAATACCCCACATTTCAGATAATGTCCTGAATTTGTAGATTTTGCTGCATGCGTCTGGCTGGACTACTTTTTAAGGAAGCACTTAGTTGAAGAGAGTGATTTCCAAACCTCCCTCCACAATCCCTGCCCTTCCTACGGTGATAAGAGGGCAGTGGTTCATTGATAGAATACGGGTACTTTGATACAGCGATTGATCTTTTGTTGCACTGGCTTTAATCACCTTAACTAGCACAAACAAATCAGACAGTCACAAAGTAAAATGTTTAATATCTTCAAAACCTCTTTGTTCTTACATTGCTGACTGCTACTGTACCCAGAATGGAAGGGAAAAACACAAAGATCACAGTCTGGTCAGTCTCACTTCTCCAGTCATTCTGTCAGGTTTTTTTTATGTATGTGTATTGTAGAAGCTGAAAGACAAATCCTGCCTCTGAATAAGATGGAGTAGTTTTGTGCCATTATTCCAGAAGAGATTTCACCCCAAATTAGTTTTCAAATTCAGCTAATCGTTACTTTCTAGACACAGCTGCCCAGTGTTTTGTGTACATCCTCTTTATAGACATTTTGTCCTTCCCTGTGATAACTATATTATTTCCTATATATGGGCATATTTTTCAGGCTGATAATCTGGCATCTTAGGCAAGTGGCACATCTTTTCTAGTGGAAAAGGGCTGATCTCTTCCATCCTTACATCAAAGAATCTACTGTTAAAATTTTTATGTAGAAATGGTAAGACATAAGTGGAAAACAGCGAGGGGTAAAATTGGTGCAAATGTGATACTGCTACAATAGATGACCTTGAGTATAGTTTTTGCAGGTTTATTTTTCCTTTGGGAGTTATCTGACTTTCACTTGATAATTTATATCACAAACCAGTGAATGCAGTGTTAGAAGCTAGTGCAGATTAATTTTCTACTAAATGCAATTGATAACCTTGTTGTATGTTATTGTCTAGTGTTTTAGAGTAAGCTGCAAATAGAAAGCCTCTGGCAACCAAATGGACTCAGTGTATCAATCTGAACAATACATGTTTTAAAGTGTAGTAAAATTAGTAATTTTAAAAGGCTGCTTTTGAAGTTATGCAGCTAAAATGGTAAAATTAACTATTTCTGAAGAAAGCAGAATAGCAGAGTGCACTAACAGATAGTATTTTTTCTTTCTTCCAGATAAAAACTATTTTGAGTGGCTTCATCATCAGAGGTTACTTGGGGAAGTGGACTTTGATGATAAAAACAATTACTTTAGTCTTGGCTGTCGCATCAGGTTTGAGTTTAGGAAAAGAGGGTCCCTTGGTACATGTTGCCTGCTGCTGTGGGAATATTTTTTCCTACCTCTTTCCAAAGTACAGCACAAATGAAGCTAAAAAAAGAGAGGTAAGTTCTTGTAAAAACATTTCTAGAATGTATTGAATATCCATGCATTTACTCTGTTTTGTTTAAAAGATGGTTATTTGTTCTCTTGGACTTTACACCTGGGTTATCAATAGTTATTTATTGTGTTAAGAAAAATGTATTATCCCTATCATTCTCCAAGGTAGATTGTTTCTATGTCAGAGTGAGTTTGTGTTTCTTCCACCTCAGAGACCATTTGATTTTACTTAAATTCTTTCTGTTCTTGGCTTTACATGTTGGTAATTGGTGAGTGTCTTGAGTTGTGAGGACAGCAGAGGGCTTTCGAACCCTTGAACAAAATATTCCTGGAAAAGGGTTGGTGACAACAGTGTTTCTGCTCTGTTTCAGTTTGTTGTTGTTAGTGAGAGTGTTAGCCTTGGTGCCACCAAGCTTCTCTCTCACCCCTCCTCCTCAGCAAGACAGCAGGACAAAATAAAATTAAAAGTTCCTAGGTCAAGATAAGGACAGGGACAGCACTCATCACAGCCAAAACAGACTAGACTTGAGAAAGATTAGTTTATTGCCAGTTAATAAGTAGGATAGTGAGAAATAGAAACAAAAGTAGGAACACCTTGCCCCCACTCTGTTTTCTTTTCAGGTTCAGCATCACTCCTGACTCTTCTATCCCAAAGCAGCACAAGAGGATGGGGAACGGGGGCTGCAGTCAGTCTGTAACACTGTCTCTGCCGCTTCTTCCTCTTCATGCTCTTCCCCTGCTTCAGTCTTGGGTCCCACCCCTGGGAGACAGTCCTTCACAAACTACTTCAGCATGGGTCCTTTCCACAGGGTCCTTCAGGAACAGACTGCCGCAGCCTAGATCCCCCACAGGCTGCAGTTCTTGCGAGAAAACTTGCTCCTATGTGAGCTGCTCTGCACAGGCTATGTCTCCTGCCAGGAGGCTGTTCTGGCCAGGGCCCTCCATGGGCTGCAGCTTCCTTCAGGGCCTGTCCACCTGCTCTGGCTGGGAGGCCTCCTCTGGACACATTCGAGGACCTTCGCATCCTTCTTAAATTGAGGTGCCCAGAACTGCACACAGCACTCGAGGTGAGGCCGCACCAACGCTGAATACAGCGGGATAATCAGCTCCTTTGGCCAGCTGGTTCTGCTGTGTTTGGTGCACCCCAGGATGGGGTTTGCCCTCTGGGCTGCCCGGGCACACTGCTGACTCACACTGAGACTGATCGCGG